TGTGCTTTTATTTTCATGTATTTAAAACTTATTATTATGATTTTAAAATATTAAATTTTTATTTTTATTGAGAATAAAATATTTAAATTGATATTGAATGAATGGATATAATGGGTCCCATATTTATATTTAAATAAATGTGTAGGGATGTGGGTGTGTATTTAAATGGAGAGAGAATTAGTGGAAATGTGATGTGGAAATGATGTGGAAGAGAGATAGTGTACTTTTTTGATTGAATGAATGTAAAAAAATTAACAAATGCAGATGCCCTTATAATATAGTTGACACTAATTGGTGATATAATTTTAAAATGTTTTTTCCTCATGTTGCACATCTCCTAATAAACAAGTGTCCCTATTGATAAACATTTACTTCATTGATATATGAAAAATAAATTTAAATGCAAGAAAACTTGTGCGAATCCAACTTGATTGACACAATTAAATCAATGCACAAATTTCATACACTGTGTCTTACAGACCATTCTCTCTCTCTCTCACACACACACAACACATCTTTTCAATTTTAACGAGTGAGTGAGTAAGATAAGAAGATGTCTGTTTGACTTGGACTCAATCACACGCTTGCACGCAAACACTCTCACCATTCACCACCAACAACCATAATAACAATCTTCACTCTATCTATCTACTCCAATTTTTACATTTCATCATTTTCATTATTCACAACTATTTCCCCCCCCCAATCAATAACTTATTCCTCTCCTTTTCCACCTTGTTTTTCAAATCACACTCTACAACCCATACTTACTGTTTACACAAGTCGTATAAACCAAAACTAAAAGAAAAAAAAGTCCAACGCTGACTTGTACGTGCAGCCACCGCAAGCGACGGCAATGGGCGGGCGGAGCCGCCGTCGAGTGACGTTATCTTTCGCCACGCTGGCGTTTCTTCTTCTCGCCTCAATCCCAGCTCTGGGCTTTGCCCCATCTCGCCACTTGAGTAAGTATACATGATAAATTATAATTGTTGGGTTGTTTCTTAATTATGAGAAAATCAAGGTCCTTTTTTTTTTTTTGTTTCTTCGATTTGTGAATTACAAGAAGGAACAGAAAAATGGAGAAGAGGGTTTTATTTAAATTATACTTTTCTTTTTTGCCGATTTACTCTTTTTTTTTTAACTAAAATTAATGTTGAACTGTTGGGAAATGTTACAGTCAGTTACAGAACTATTTTGTCAGGATTTATAACCGTTAGATCATCATGTAACTGTCGTGGATAGTTGATCTAACGGTTACAAACCACGACTTACGAAACCGTAGAATCTTCCTGAAATGTTGAGCTCAAGGAGAAAAAACAAAAAGAAAAAGTAAAAAAAAAAAGGAAACTGCAATGTGTTATCTAAAAGGCAGTACACTGTACATCCCATACTCTCATCATTTTGTGTGTTTCACAAGCAATTCCAATTCTCCTTTTCTTTACTTGAAAAAAAATAAATAATTAATTAATTAATATTTATTTGGTATGTGATATTTAATTAGGCTTCGGAGTAAAGAAAATAAGGGAGGAAGTGGTTGAGCGGCTAAATACGGCCAGGCGGCGACTGGGTGGGCCCGGGTCATCGCCACCGGTTTGCAGATCCAAGTGCGGGAAATGCGGGCCGTGCAGCCCGGTTCATGTACCAGTTCAGCCTGGGATGAGTATGCCACTCGAGTATTATCCCGAGGCATGGAGATGCAAGTGTGGGAACAAGTTGTTCATGCCGTAACGATACCATATCATTTCCCATTAATATTAGTCTATTATTTTATTATTATTATTATTTTTTTTTTTTTCTACCCTTTTTGAGCATATTACGTTATGGGACAAAGAACAAAACTAATGACTTAGTTGTAATTCAGATGAGATATTTTTTTTTTTTATGATTGTAGCAGCTTTGGTAACATTTATGTAAAATTAGTTAATTGTCGGCAACACTTTATTCACTTGGTAAGTATATCTTTAAAGTTGCCCAGTCGGCTTTCTTGTTTTAGCTAGGAAGGATTCTTCGATCTGAAAAAAGGAAAATTAAGGAACTGCATAAGAAAGTAAGCTGTTGGATTAGTATATCGGAATGTTGCCAACCTTCGATTATGATATACTGCAAGTAGGACTGTAAACGAGCCGACTCGAGCTCGAGCTTAAGGTGTTCGCGCTCAAGTTCTTAAGCTCGGGTCATTAAATAACAAGTTAGAAATCGAGCTCGAGCCTTAACAAGCCGATCTCGAGCTTTAACGAGCCGGAACTATAAAAAATTGTACAAAAATTTTCTTTTCGAGCCGAGTTCGTTAAGGTCTCAAACTCGAGTAGAGATCGAGTCTTAACGAGCCGAAACAGACTCGTTTAATTTAACAGCACTAACTGCAAGAAGCGGTGTTCTGAGTACACACTTGAAGTCCGTAGAAAGATGGAGAGTAGTGTGTATAACATGTGTGTAATTAATGTGTAATGTGTATTAAATTTTATTTATCTCATGTTTACGACATGACTTGTATTTCAAATATTGTAGAAATATAACTCGAAATCGAACCAACATAACCACATAACCAAAGTTTCAAAAGTAAAAAATTCTATGGCCGAACCGACATATAAAAATCTGAGCCAAATTGCGGCCGATTTCGGTCGCTTTTGGTCGAACTTTGTACACTCATATATGAATCACAGAATGTACAATAGCGACAAATTAAATGCAAATCAATACGTATCAATGTATTTTTATTTTTTCAAGTGGGGTCATCGCACATAATACGTTGTAAAAAGCAAAGTTGGGGAGCATAATTTACTGCAATTTGATGAGACAAGTTGGGGTAGCACACACATGGAGTAGACACCTAATAACCTTAACGTCAATCAGTTTCTCGCCAGTGAATGCCCCTCGCTCACAGTCTTCAAATTTTAGGAAAAGTTAAACGATGAGCTATAGAAAAGCAAAACAAAGAGAAAATTATTTGAATTGATATTTGACATGACTCTATTTTTACTAGAAAACAAAGAAAAGAGAACAAAACCTCTAATCATGTAAATTACTATGAAACGTGTCTCTATATATTGACTCTCAAATTCAGTGATTTAGTTTGGAGTAAATAGTCCATAAGTGTGTTTGGATATAGACATACTCATAAATATTATTTATCAATACATTCGAGTATCAACTTCTCCGTACATTTTTTTATAGATTGATTCATTTTTGTATTTATCTATCATTTAATTTATGTTATAATAATTTCATACTATGTCGTGGGTCCAAATAAATTAGACCAATTAATGATGTTGAATCCAGCACAGAAATAATACGACTTTACAATTTTCGAAATATGTTCGTCATTTTTCATCTCATATCTAAATTAAAAATTTTACTGTGAAACTTATATATCTCATATTTAAATATATATATATATATTTCCTAAAAAAGCATGACGATTCTTATAATTAATTTTATCATATATCTCGTGTTAGATGTTAATAATTTGGCTGGAGATACTCATTATACTCTAATAAATAATATATAATTTTTTATTTTTTGTATTTCTTTTCTTGCAATAACAAGACAGTTAAATGTAATGGTAATTATGTTTAAAATAAATTCTAAAAAAGATTTTAAGTAACAAAACTTGTAAATGTTGTGGTGAGGAGATGAAGACAGTTGAACATCTCTTTCTGAACTGCCCTTTCTCCTCTAGAATCTAGAAGTTATCTCGGTGGTCTCAAATATGTATTCTCAATAACTCTTCCACTTCTAATGACGGGGTGCAACTCATAGTTTATATCCTTTGGGAAATCTGGAAAGCAAGGAACCTCTGGACCTTTCAAAGAATAAAAAAAGCATGAAGCTTTAATTGTCCATTCAGCCCTGAGCAACTGGATGGAATACACTTCTTCACTGTCCTCGGAATGTTGTATAATCAACAGTTGAGGCTGAGCAGAAGGGTGAACTGGTACTATCATGTGCAATCTCTAGCTCTCAGTTGTTGTTGTGCCTTTGATTATGGTGCTGGGGTGTTTTTTTGGCTGCATATGTTCTTGTGAGGTTTCTTTGGTTCTCTGGTGATTATCTTCTTCAACTGTGCTGCTCCTGTCCATTGGCTCTGGGCAGGGGCGAAGCTACTTGTACTGGCTGGGGTCGTCCGACACCGACGCTTTGCGTTGAACCACTTGTACGTAGCAAAATTTCACCGTGTAAGACCCCATTAAAAAAATAATAAGACGCCGGCAGCAGGGGCGGATCTATATAAGACACCGTGTAAGACCCCCGACCCCCTCAACTAAAATTTCTGGCTTCGCCCCTGGCTCTCTGGGAGTGTTGGATAGACTTGTTGGCATTCATGTTCTCTTTTGTTTCTGTAGTATTTAGTTTCTTTGTTTGTTTTGTTGGCCCCTTTGTTTAGTTTCAGGTTAGTTTATGTTTCTAATTCTCTTGTTTTTCTTTTCTGTTGTTTTATCCTTTGGTTAGCTTGTGAGTTGCTCCAGCTAGGCCCAGTGGTTGTGGCTTTTTTCTTTAAGTCTGTCGCTTCGGCAGCAAAGTATAAAGAAACAACTCTCCGGACCTCTTTGCTTGTCAATGTCGGGAGTTGGGCTTTATGCTTTATTTTTAGTAGGTTCTAGTGTGCTTTGAGGTGCCACTCTATTTTCTTTTTGGATCCTGTATGGGTTTCTTAACCTGGACTGTATATCTTTTATTGAGTCATAAAATCTATCATTTCGGAATAAAAAAAAAAAAAAAGACAAACCTAAATTTCACGGGATGTGCAAGTTAGAAAAAAGTGTTAGAGTAAAAGTTGGGAAAAGGTGAACGCTATAGCATTTTTGGTGGGGGGGAAATTCCATATATAACAAGGCCAAACTATTTTAAATTATATTAATTTAAGGTCTGACATTTATTCTTTCTCAATAGGATACTTACATTTTAGAATATTTTCGGTTCAAAGTTCACTTTTTAGTTAACTTTTCATTGGCCAAACTATTTTAAATTATATTAATTTAAGGTCTGACATTTATTCTTTCTCAATAGGATACTTACATTTTAGAATATTCTCGATTCAAAGTTCACTTTTTAGTTAACTTTTCATTGTATGTTCAACTATCTTTACTTTTTGACATAAACATGTAAACTAGTTAACTTTATTTTATGATATAATTATGTGAACATAAATATTTTTATTTTTTATTTTTTTTATAATTATGTAAACTAGTAAATTTTACTTAATAATAAAAATGAAACTATATAAATTATATTTACACAAAAGTTTAATAGTATTTATTTTAAAAAAATGATAAGTATCTATATCTATATTTATACTATTATAAAAGAGCCAATGAATCTGTAAAAATATGATATCCCTAAATTAACCTTACTTTGTCATGTTTATAATGTCAATTTTGTAATTTAATACCCCATTCTATACTAATATTTTTAATTAAACACATTCTAGATCTTGGGGTTTATGTATGTTGGTTTGGCCCAATTATCAATGCCGTCTATTTATCAAAATTTCTCCCTTTTGAATATCTTGTCACTCCCCATTTTCACTTTTTGTCTGAAACTTTTACATTTATTTAAATAAGATTTTCAATGATATTAAAATTTGAACAAACTTTTAAAAATTATCAAAACGTTAAATTTTACATTTATTAAATAAGATTTTCAATGATATTAAAATTTGAACAAACTTTTAAAAATTATCAAAACGTTAAATTTTACATTTATTAAATAAGATTTTCAATGGTATCAAAATTTGAACAAACTTTTAAAAATTATCAAAATGTTAAGTTATTGTACAGAAATAACAAAATTATGACATTACCTTACCAAATACTCATTTTTTTTTAAATTTAGACAAACAATGTATCTCTGTACCAAAAAAATAAAAAATAAAAAATAAATAAATAAATAAATAACGCGTTCAGTATGATAGATAAGGAAAAAACTAATAAAAAATATTATTGCTTCACATGAGCAATTGATTTTCAAGATGAGAGCTCTATAAACAATGATAATTCAAATTTTTGTATATTAAATATTTTATTTATTGACATTATTTTAAGATTTGTAAATATTTTTGTGATTTTCTCAATAATTCTAAGAGTTTATTTAACCGTAAGTATATAAGATAAATTTCTTAGCAATATTTATTTAATTTTATAAGTTTATTAATAACAATTACGTTAGTATTAAATGTGACATGGAGGCCAAAACTATCGCTAATTATACATAATATGAATCTTTAATTTAAATCAATTTTATTTCTTAAGCAAAAAATTAAAAAACAATACAATTTACCAAATAATTGCTTTAATGTTTTCAAATTATCTTTTAAGACTATTGAAATCTAAATCAAATTGTGTACCATATGTTTGTAATAGTTCATGAAAAATATAATAGTATTTGAATGAAAAAAAAATTGAAATTCAACTAAAACTTGAATATTAATATATATTTATAACTCACGAAAATATATAATTAATAAGATCCAATGAAGAAAAAAAAAAGCATACAAAAACTATTTTACTGGAAAAGGAGAAGATAATATGAACAAATATATAAAAACTTTGCTAACATATGGCAGTTGACTTATAACTGCTATATTTTATCAATAAAAATAATGACAAAGAATGGTCTCTTTCAACAAGATAAGAAGACAAAATTGTAAACTATCATATGCAATTATTCATGTCAAAGATTTTAATTTAGTTTTAATGTTCATATTTGTCAATCTTCCCCAAACAAAAAAT